GTAAAAGAGATAGGAGATTCTTATTCTAATGGAAGAAACAATTTGGCAGCTTCCAAAATGTTATAATTATTAAAGGCTGATCATGGAGCACATAGAGAAGTTAAAGTAAAATTAATAACAATGAAAATAGCTCTACTTACTGGTATATAAAAACATTTTCTTTCTGGTGTTGCCTGAAAACCAAAAAGTTCAGAAACTATTTTAACTTTTCTGCAGTTTCTTGGTCTTACCTCTTTCAAGTATATTTTTCTTACAGCCTTCTTCGGCACAAAAGTATTTTTGTTTTATTTATCATGTTTTCCAAACCTAAGATCCGTTAGTACATGTAGTATATTTTCAATAAAATCCAGTAGCTAACAATTTTGTTTTAAAACTAAATACTCTCAATAATAGGGCCCAAGACAAGGAACACAGTAAATGACTGCCAAAGTCTCCACCTTATTTCTACGAAAAAGCTGCAACTACAGCTGGGGAAAAATTTGTAACTAATTATTTCCTTTACAGTAAAAAAGATGACAGTTATTAAAGAAATAAAGATGAAAGTAAAAACTTGGGCTTATCACTTGGTACTTAGACGGGGCTCAGAAATATTGATAAAATATTCCCTTTGCTGGGGGAGCATGGACACTGAAAATAAAGCAATGAAGGCCCTTTCCTTTATACTTTTTTTGCTTCTTTCCTTCAGAAAAGTTGACACTTGTACCAGACATGGATAATACATAGCTCTTGTCCTCAGGGAACGCACGTTCTAGTGTCAAAGACCGGCAATTGTGATAATCAGATAAATAGACTATGGAGGGAGCACAGCTATCATTGAATTAATCTGTGGCTTTTGAAGCTCAGAGACTGAGACTTAGTACAGACATAGAGAGTCATAGAAGATCCCAGGACGAAAAGGACATTTAACTTGAACTGCAGATGACCAAGGGTGGGAGGAAGGGTGGTGGTGGTAGAAGTCAGGGTTAATGGGCAGCCGGGCAGAGAAGCCTATGAGGCTTGAGATATAAAAGCTAAGATCTTCAACAATTTTATACTTGGGTTTTCACTCTCTTTTTCTTATAAATGTCTGAAAACAGTGCTTCCATAGAGTACAGAGTCAACAGCGTATCGCTGCAGCGCTGCATGTCGACAGAAGCCTTCCGTATTGTGTTTCTTTGTGATTCTGTTTGGACAGTGTCTCAATTGCTTATCCCTCACACACAGCGCCGAGAAAGGCTTTTCAGATGTGGAGGATGAGGCAAGGCAACAACTAAATGAATGCCGCGAAGCGTGCTTTTTTTTCATTACATAAATTAGAACAGACACCTATTCTATTTGGGGATATGACAATTTCATTTCAATTCTTCTTTCTCGTGTAATGTCATCCCACTCTACTACAGAAACAAAGAGGAAACCACTACTTTAGATATTTTTAAAGTTTTATTTAAAGAAAATAGAAAAATTTAAGACCTTTACGGTCTCGGAGCACAGTGTTTTCATTCTTCTGATAATTAAAATAGATCTTATTCCTTATATTTCTATCAGAATTGGTTAAAAATACAATGATATAGTAGAATTCACCTTGTATTTTTGTTTTATTTGCTCTACTGGGCGTCGAACCCAGGTGTGCTCTACCACTGAATTATAACTCCAGGCTTTTTTTCCCCTTTATTTTTATTTTGACAGAGTTTTGCGAAGTTACCCCAGCAGGATTCAAACTTGTGATCCTCCTGCCTCAGCCTCCCAAGTGCTGGGATTACAGGCGCGTGCCATGGCACCTGGCTTCACCTAGGTTTTCAAGGAACAAATGAACTATTAAGTGCAATATACTTTTAAAACTTGCCAATATGAAATTACAGCTGTTTTTCAAACATATTATTTTGCAGGTAACTTTTTGCAGAGGTCTACTTTTAATATTAAAAAATCTTTTTCTACTTAAGGATTCTGCAGAAAATTATTTACCATGCTTCCATAAACAAGAACAAAAGATTTCTGATTGAGCTTTAATCACAAGGAATGAGGTGGGAAATAGTATGAGCCAAAGGCGCTAAGAATGTAAAAAAAAGCCAGAACATGAGTTTCAAAGTTAGAAGACTTTAAGCCTTAGTTTTCCCTTTAGTCTTTTCCTTCTCTGGGCAATAGGAGTAATAACAGTTGCTTCTAAAAATATTTGAAGTCTGAGTCTTCTGAAGGATATAAATCATCACAAGTATATGGCGATCCAATGTAATTATCAATAATAACAAAATAATATTTCCCTAGAAAAATGACTTTCCTAAAATTTCCCTAGGAAATCTACTAAGTTGAGTACTGGAATGGAGAAGCCCATCAGAAAAAGGTTCAGAAGTAAACAAGCTTAGATATCGCATGGTTTCTCTTATGTGAGAAACTCGAAATATAAATAAAGAGCAATAAAAGATGAATAAGAGGAAATGGAGAGAGAGGTCTTTTGCAAAAGGGAAGGGAACCTAGAGTGAGAGGAAGGAAGGAGAGAGTGGAGGGGATGACAAACACGAATTAAAGTGTTGTGTACACGCACCAACTCCCCACCGGGAACGCAGTCCGAACGTACTGCAAACGTGTAGCAATGAAAAGGAAAAATTGAGAAAATGAAATATTTAAAAAAGAAAAATGATCAGAGCAATTTAAATTGCAATTCAAAGTGAAAAATCATAGGTAACCCAATTAATAAGTTCATTTCCTTACAAAATGATAGAGGGCCTTACTTGGGTTGACTTAATTTTTAGTATTTTGCCAGAAGAGCTCTGTGGCTAATTTATGCCTTAGTAAAGACTAATCTGTCGTGTAGCTCTTCACAGTATTTTTCATTGTAACTAAGTAGTATCTTTACTTGAAAATGAAACATTCATTTTCCTCCAAAAAAGAAAAAAAATGAACTACTGTCAATAGAATTGTTCTGTGGGTTTTCTCCAATGTAGTATATCATGGAATTGTTATGTATAATAAACAAACAAGAAAGCACATTAGTTCATCTGTAACTCTCCTGCAACATTATTAAGTTATTATGAAACTACATTTTTCACTTAAAATATTTACTTATAAAAATATTTATGAAAGGATTTCTTCCGTTTTTGTTTTATAGCCCTTAAAAATAGAGATATATGACAGCATTTTGATAACTAAAGAAGTGACTTATAGGATGGTGCTGGTCATCTGATTTCATCTGTGAAAGGCACCTGTGATCGGGGACCCCTAGGTACACACACAATACTTTTACAAGCGGTCCAAAGGGTGGATGCCTGCTGCTTACTGATAGCACTTTCCTCTAAATGAAGGCAATAAGAGTGTGCAGGGCAGAGAATGATGATATTTTCATTTTGTCTTGAATTGTAATGGTTTACTTGAGTCTTTGGAATAGACATGCACGTATTACTTGCATTAAAAAAATACAAACAGGGCCAGGGATTTAGCTTAGTGGTTCCACCACCTGCCTTGCAAGCACAAGGTCCCGAGTTCACTCCCCAGTACCAAAAACAAAACAAAAACAAACAACACAGGAAGGTAACCTACAGAAGGCACCATTTCTGCCTACCCATCTCATTCATGCTGCTTCCTGACAGCCACTGGACTTGTGCAGGGTCTACAAATGATGCCATCCAAGTGTACATTAATCAAAATATGAGTACCAGTAAGCAGTCTAAGAAGTCGAGTTGAAATCAGTTACGTCTGGAATGCATGGCAGACAGAGGAGTCAGCGGGCATGCTTCAGTTCAAGTTCTTTCAAGCTGAGGAAGTGCTTTGGGACTGTCATTCTCACTCCTGCTGGAACAGTGTGGCCAAGGCAGGCGTGATCTATCTTACTGAGCTGCTCCGCTGGACTAGAAATGGCACTCACCTTTTTGAGCCTTTTTTTAAAAAAACTGTTTGATCAGCCTCTGAAAGCCCAAAAATGACAAAAACATTCAACTGCTTACTTGCTAAGTCAAAACCAACTCGCTCTTTAAAAAGGTGGCTGATCTTCTACCCCTTAATTACCTTACAACACTAAGTCCAGAAGGCCTGTTAGCAGATTTTATTTTCAACCCTTGAAGGAAAAATCCTCTTGCTGTTTTCATTTCATACAAAAGATAAGTTTGCAAAAAGGCAACATTTGGCAGGATTTCAGAGGTGCAATGTCTGGTGGTGATGATAATGCAATTCTTTCTTTTGATTATGGCAGCATTTATAATGCTGTCTCATTCATGTAGACCATCATGCCCCAACCGACTACACTTTTCAATTGAACAGACATAAATCACGCAATCACTTGAACTGTTTAGCCTCTCTCCCACTGTAAGTCTGGAATCTGGCTATAGATTGATTTTGTGTGGAATTCTATTTTTGGAAGATGTCATGCTCTACTTGGCAGTCCTGCAAAATGTCTTTCATTCAAATAAAAGGAAGTCGACTTACCTTTTGGGTAATTCACTAATATTTCTCATATGTCTTAAAAGGTATGTCTAAGTTTCATGCAAATAAATACTGTAACTAATCTGTACAATTAAAATGAGTGATTTTTTTTTTCTTTTTGCTAGGATTCAGATTAATATGATTCACAGAGCCCCCAAATAATTGTCTGTGTAAAAGTCACATGCTATCTAAAATACCTCCCAAATAAAAAGACACCCAGGAAGATAAAACCTACAGTCTTTTTATTCTTTTTAGTAGCAAGCAAAAATCAATGTGGCTTAATATCTCTAAATTGCGTTCTTGAGCAGGTATGAACAGCATGCCAGAAATAATATAGGTTCAAAATCCACCGAGAAGTCTATCAACATTGCATAATGCAACAGGTAAAAAGTTATCTGGGAACATATTTGTAAAACAAACACGCGGCTTTTGTGTGGACTAATTCTCAGAGACAAGGCAGCGCATTCCAAAGCACAGTGGAGCTGTATAACTAATGTATGGTTTAATGCTACATACTTTGGAAACAGACTAATCATCTATGGCCTATTTGCAAATGTAGTAAAAGAAAGATTCACGAGGGCACAAATAAAATTTAGAAATCATTTACTCACTGTGTTAAAATTTGGAAAGAGCCCAACAGCAGAACTACTGTCCACTGGAAAAGACATAAATGGTTTGATATCCAGTGAAGGCTGCATCATCAGGGTAGGCGTGCGTACAAGAGCAGGAAGGGTAGTAGTATGACATGTACTGCCTGCCAAGAACAAAACAAAAATGAATTCAGTCTCTTGCTCATATTCATCTCCCTTCCCAACCTACAGTGCAAAAGCAAGACCTCTGAGCTGCAACCTGCAAGTGAGTCACACTGGAAGGAGACAAGTGGCACAGGAGTAGTAAACAGGGAAAAAGGATCTTCTCCCTCATTGCCTGAGACAGTGAGTCAGAACACTTCCAAAGGCTGCCCAACCTTCGGGAGACTCAGTACACAGATTCTACCAGCAGGTGGGGCACAAGGAGCCTGGCCGGGTGTCCAGCCCCTTGCCGCAAAAAAAGGGCGGGGAGCGGTTCCGGGAGAAGAGCAGAGGCGCCTCACGAAGCCAGATGCTCTTCGCTATTCAGACTAAATGGCCAGTATGCACGTTTTATGTAAATCAGAGATAATTAGGGGCTTTTACAAGAGAAAGAAAACTTGGACTCTTACAGTTACTGTCTGCTACCAAAAAAGTTATGACTCATTGTTTTCTTTAAAAATGAGCTGAAAGTTGCCCTTACTTTGAGGGAAATAGGTAGTCTAGACATTGGTTAGTTGGAGAATCTAGAAGGGTGGAATAATGCAGCTTGGCTGTGGACATGGATTTGGGGGATAGACGATAAGACCTTGAATTCACACTCCTGTCTTTCAGTTTTATTTCTAGTGAGTTTTGCCTTGTCATAGAAACTACCCTTTTGGCAGCTATATTAGCTGTCACCTCTTTAGATATCCTGTTAGCACAGGAGTAGGAATTGATCTCCTCCCATAAAAGGCATTCTTCTTTAACCTACAGCTTCCCTAGGAACGAGGAGAGTAACTCTTGGTGCAGGTGACCCTCTGGGAGATAGGCCTTGGCAATTTTTGGTTTTGTTTTTTTAATATGACAGCTTTATTGAGATATAATTCATATATAAGACTTTTACACTTAAAGTCTAAAACTTCAATAACTTTCAGCATATTCAGAGTTGTGCAACCATTTCCACAATTGATTTCAGAACATTTTCATGACCTCTGAGGAAATTCTGTCCCTATTAACAGTCATTCCCCATTTTCTCCCAACATTTCTAGTTCCGGATAACCACAAACTTATTTCCTGTCTCTCTATATTTGTCTATCTTAGACATTTCATTTAAGATAAGTGAAATCATATATTATGTGGTTGTCTGTGACTGGTTTCTTTCATTTGATATGTTTTCAAAATTTATCTATATAGAATGTATCAGAATTGAACATATTATTTATGTCTTTTCAAGGCTAAATAATAGCCTATTGTATGAATACCCCACATTTTGCTTATTTTATCAGTCGGTGGGCACTTGGATTTTTGTTTTCATTTTTGGCTATTATGAATAGTGTTACTATGAACATTACCATGAACATTCATTTACAAAGTTTTGTGTAGACTTATGTTTTCAGTTGTTTCAAACATTGTACCCAAGAGTGCGGTTTGGATATTTATTGGGTCATAAGGTAATAATATGGCTTAGCCTTTTGAGGAATTGTCAGGCTGTTTTTGAAAGCAGCTGAACCTTTTTACATTTCCACCAACAATTATAAGGGTTCCAACTTCTTCTGGTCTGTCTGTATAGAATCACATAATAATTATATGCCTAAAATCCCCTACTGACTTCAAGAAGAAATGAACAGTATGAGAAAATGCTGCAACTATTTAAATTTCCACCATCCTCTCCCACAGTACCCCCAAATCATTACAATTCCTATTTCACTGATACTTTTTTGGTAATGAATTTCTTTAATACACTCTGCATTATATTTCAAATCACTCTAGAAGATTATTGGTGATAGTGTTTAATGGCCTATTGTACCTCTTTTACATTGACCTAAACAGATGCTTGAAGCATTTATCTGTAGCGCAATTCTTAAGTCAGCCCCATCCATTAGGAAATACGGAGTTATTAAAAAAATCAGACAAAAAATCAGTAAAAAATCAGACAAAAGTGTAGATCGTATAGATCATAATTCTTTTTTCCTGATATCCAAGTAAATACCCTGACAGCCTGTTATTCACACAACCATCCTGCATTTAATTACACCTTCCTCTTTTGATTAGGTAATATCACATCCAGGGCTAACTTATGTGCTTGTAGATCCAAGATGATATATTGTGCCAAAACCTCAAATGTTACAGAGGTACCTATTAAAACATATATTTCAAAAGCTTTATTGTAAAATCTTAGCTGAATTGAAAACTAGAGATATTTCTTAGATTGATGGCCTTTTATAATTTATTATTACTAAAATTATTAAAATTCAACTACAAAGAGTAAGTTACACAGAATCTATGTAAACTGCCTATTGAACAAATTTGCAATTGTTTTGCCACTGTCGGTCTTCTGAAGTTCTTTCTCTAAACCTACAAGGGTGACTCTGACAACACTGTGTAATACATGGCCCCAAGGGCCTGGCAAGACTCACTTTGTACTAACAAAGCAAATAGAAGGCAACAGGGAACTTGACAAACGGATTGCTCCATCAACAAAGGTCAGAATGCACAATGTTCCTCCTTACCCAATCAAATCTCTATGCTAATAAAGACAAGGCTTGAGAACTACTTAGCTGCTTCCATTCATTAGCATAAAAAACTTAGCAGCTGTTTACCATTTCATTAGCATTTTAATGACAGATAATTTTCCATGTTAAACACAGATTGTTTTAAAGTACTGGTGGATCTTCTGAATACATATAAACTGTGCTTTTATGAATTCCTTCACCTCAACCTTGCTGTTTTCACTTTTAAAACCTACTTTTAAAATACTGCTTCACTAAGATCGATTGCTTCAAAGAAAGTCTTTGTAAATGGAAATAAATGGAGATATCGTGCCCCCCAGGTTATTTTATGCTTTCATCCTTTTGTCACCTTATTCCAGATTTTACTGTTGCTGTTGCTATTGCTGCTGGGAAACCTTTCTCTTCACCTCTGGGTGCCTGGTAGTCAGTGGGAGTTACAAGCAGAAATTTAGCCAAAATACATTGTACCCTGCAAGAAAATACTTAATTTCTCTAAAAGTCAAATACTTGCTGAGAGGGGAAAAAAAAAAGGTTGGAAATACAAAAAGCAGGCATTTCAATGTGAAAAAGTACCCTTTACATTGCTGTTCTAGTCTCACAGGATAGGACTGACTTTTGTAGAACTATTTGGCAATATTACATAAGACACCTCCTGTATGTTGCTCTGATTCAAAGCATAGGCTATAATCTGATATATATCACAATAAATAAAGTCATGGTAGGACTTTACCTTATTTAATAATAAGATATTTGTTATCACTTAAGGTACATATACTTATCAGTCTCCTTCTACTAAAATTAAATACGCACAAACACAAGTGTGTGTACCCCAAAAATCTGTCATGGTCTTCACCATGGAAATTCCACATGTCCATTTGATTTCCTATATTAATGTAATTAGCCCTTTCCTATAAATTTTATTTTGACGGCAAAACATGTAGAGATGAGAAATTATCTCTTCACTCTCTGAAGTTTCATTCAAATGAACTGACAATAGACAGGATAATAGGAAAAGAAACATACAAATTTATTAATGTGCATAAGCTTTCTGGCCATACAAAATATGAAACTCAGAGGGTCAGATGGTTAAAGCTTAAATAACCTCCAAATGGGAGAGGAAACTGGGAGGTGATTAGGCCAAGTTGTAGATTCTTTTTTAGAAGGGATATGGATGACTCTGGAAAGTCAATGGCTGGGACAAAGTTCTCAGCACTGGGCCAGTTAAGCCAGTTTATTAGAAGATGAGGAGTCGAAATGAATTGCCAATAAAAGCTTTTGTATTAATGAGGCATAATCTCCAAGGTAATCTTTTGGAGCTGTCCTCAGTAGAGTAGGTGAAAAGTCTATCCAGGAACGAGGTCAACTTCTAGTCTCTTTTATTCTCTGCTGGTTAATCTTTCCTGGTTATTTGAGGAGATTCCTGAAGAGGGAATTTAAGACGATTCTTTTGAAGTTTTCTCAGTCAGATGAGGGAATTTCAGAAAGAGTCCCTGCTGAGGGAAGGAAGGGAAATCAAAGGTCAGAGACTTTAATTTTAAGTGAACTTCTACGGCCTTCCAATTTCCTTTAATTCACAGTGCTCAGTATTTCAAAGCAACCATATTTGGGGACATGGTTTTCTCAATGCCAACAAATTCAAGTTATATTCTTCTACCCTATGAAACCAATAATATGTGAAAGACTTGCTACTATGACGATTAAAAAAAAGAAAAACTTATTTCGCCCAACTGCCGCTGGTAACATAATAGATACTTTATCACGTCAATGGATTATGTCATAATCCATCACAATAAAACCTCATTTGACAGGCCAAGTGACACTTAAAATTATTGCCATAGTCTCTGACCTTTAGAAATATGATCTCAAAGGTCCCTTTAGGTTATAATTCCAAGGCTTCCTAAGGGGCTCTTCTTTACGTACCATAACAAAAACAAAACAATTCTTAGAAAGGAGAGTGCATCAGAGTCACAGAAAATCTGCAGGAAGAAGCATTTGCAGAATGAGATGAAATCTATGTCCTGTAGAAGTAGTTTTTTTAGGCAACTATATAAGCACTCCTCAGTGAGTATTGAAATAAAAAAATGCATCACAAAAAAAATTTACTGAGGGAGAGCAATGTCAGTTATAGAATGCCCAAAGATTTTGTGTGTGTGTGTGTGTGTGTGTGTGTGTGTGTGTTAAAGGTTAAATTTATTTCAAAAGTACTTATAAATGAGTGAAACATGACTAAGCATACATAGTGAATTTGTCAAATAAATCAATTTAATACATACTTTTTATAGAGTAACAAACACAAAAAAAATTTACTGAGGGAGAGCAATGTCAGTTATAGAATGCCCAAAGATTTTGTGTGTGTGTGTGTGTGTGTGTGTGTGTGTGTGTTTTAAAGGTTAAATTTATTTCAAAAGTACTTATAAATGAGTGAAACATGACTAAAGCATACATAGTGAATTTGTCAAATAAATCAATTTAAT